TCACAGAATTTAATAAGATCAAGCAAGGGGCAGGCTTTTGGGACAAGGAAGCATTTCCTACGTAGGTAATTACATTGACGAGGTTTTTCTAACTTCTACTTCGTGTTTTACATTTTCCTTTATACAAGTGTTATACGTGAATGTAGAATATGTTTGGGTATGGGAGTTTGGTTTTACTTTATTACCTCCCAGTATTTTAAATCATTTAAGCAAGCTTAATGTAATCAGCTCCAATGCCTCTCAGGTCAGATTTAAGAGCAGGAGCTGCCAGTTTAAGCAGTTACCTTTGTCCAATGACTGTTCTTCTGCTCAGCTATATGACTGAAAGAAATTGTATGTCCATATGTAATGCACTGTATCTGGAAGGGATTGTACCAGACCTGCACTAGATCTTAGAATTACACTAGATCAACTCAAAGTATATTTTAAAGCCTGTACCATTTCAATTCACATGCATACTGTGAAATCAAATTACCATGTACTGTTTAATTTGTAACAACTGGATGAACTTTGTGGATTTACTTAGTATAACCTGAAAAGAAGCTCATCTAAAATTACTTGGTTTTAATTTAGCAAAGTACCAAGGCAGCAGGAAGACATTTCTGTTGTGAATGTAACTCCCCAGTTTCTTTTCCTTCACTGTAAAGTCATCTCCTTAAATTGTTCATGGTTAATACACTTTGAAAATAATCATCCAGAATACCTACATAGTCACAACCAAGGTTGTGGTTCTTTTTTAATAGTAGGAAGCTACAACACTGTTACAGTAGACCAATGAACCTTTCTTTTTTCAACTTTACCTTCAGAGATTTAAGTTTTTTACCTTAAAAAAAGGTCTAGTCTAGCCTAGTCAGTTGAAAGAGGTTGCTCAGAGGTTACAGTAGAGCAAAAATTAACTTTAGTGCTTTAGAACAGCTTTTCTGAATACCATCTTTGTAACTCTCACCTGAGTCCACCTTGAGCACTCCCTGTTAACTTACCTTTGTACTGATGCTGAGGATCACCTCCACCTGGAAAGGGTGGCACAGAGCAGGGCATCACAGGCACTTTCTGAGAACTAGGACTGTCGAGACAAGTTACACTGGATTCTTTTCATGGCAGTGTTTTGGGATTCCTTATGGAGTTGTCAAGTTTCCCACATAAAAATATACTGACAAGATAGGATTGAAGCTGCAAAAGTTAATGGAAGCTGCAGCGGTTAAGGTAGCAAGGACATGGGTAATTATTAGAGGACAGGAGGAGTCTTCTAGCTTAATAGCTGAGTGGCCCACTACCACTGATATAAGTGGTACAAGGGGCAACTTGAGTTTAATACAGGCATTAAATGGAAGTAACTTGTCTTTAAACAACAAAGGAGTAGTTCCTATTGAAATTGAGATAAATACCTGCCACCCCCCCCAAAAGATATCACCCCACTATCTTTAAATGCAAGATGAGTTTTATGACTGCTGTATTAAAAAAACCTGAAATCAGCAGAGCACTGTAGACTTGAATAATTCATGAAAGATCAAGGAATACAGTAGTTCCCTGCAATGCAGCAGCTATGAAAGCACAAACTGTGCGCCTTTTGGACGGCCAGTTACTGTCTCAGACTTCGTAAGTTAGACGTAATGCAGTTGATAGCCACATATTAGAATAAAAAGTAGAAAAAAAATAGTTTTAAGCTAAAGGAGATGTATTTGGTACTTAGTTTTAATACCTTCCAGAAGTCTTAAAGTTGTGCATGATCTCTGTTCATCAGGTCTTCAGCTGCATGGTTCTGTGAAAGCCCACAGTCGAACTGGATCAGTCACAAAAAGCAAACAGGGGTTGTAACGTGCCAGGAAGAAGCATCCATTCACCTCCAGAGCCACGAACCACCTCTCCTTGTCAGCAATGTCAACGTTGTTTACAGAGAGTTTT